TTTTCTTTCTTTCTTCTCTTTTTCTTTTTTCTTTTGGTTTTTTTTTTTTACCGTGCCACGAAGCTTGTGGTATCTTGGTTCCCAGGCCAGAGATTGGGCCCGAGCTCCTGTGGTGGGAGCACCAAGTCCAAACCACTGGACTAACAGAGAACCTCAGAACCCAGGGAATACCAATTGGAGTGAGGCCTCCCAGAGGCCCTCATCTCAGCACCAAGACCCAGCTCTATCCAACTGCTTACAAACTCCAGGGCTGGATGTCTCAGGCCAAACAACCAGTAAGACAAGAATACAGCAGCTCCCATAAAAAAAAAAGATGAAATGACAAAAAAATTTGTTACAGATGATGGAGAAAGGTAAAAACCTACAAGACCAAATAAATGAAGATGAAATAGGCAATCTCTGAAAAAGAATTCAGAGTAATTATAGTAAAGATGATCCAGAATCTTGGAAAGAGAATGGAGAAAATACATTAAATATGTGTTAAAGAAACATTTAACAATGCTCTAGAAGAACTAAACAGCCATAAATGTTAAAGAATAAACAGCCATAAAAGGGGAAATCGAAAGTAACACAATCATAGTAGGGGATTTTAACACCCCACATTCACCAATGGACAGATCATCCAAAATGAAAATAAATAAGGAAACACAACCTTTAAATGATACATTAAACAAGATGGACTTAATTGATATTTATAGGACATTCCTTCCAAAACCAAGAGAATACACTTTCTTCTCAAGGGCTCATGGAACATTCTCCAGGATAGATCATATCTTGGGTCACAAATCAAGCCTTGGTAAATTTAAGAAAATTGAAATCGTATCAAGTATCTCTTCTGACCACAACGCTATGAGATTAAATACCAATTACAGGAAAAAAACTGTAAAATATACAAACACATAGAGGCTAAACAATATGATACTAAACAACCAAGAGATCACTGAAGAAATCAAAGAGGAAATCAAAAAAATACCTAGAAACAAATGAAAACGAAAACACGATGACCCAAAACCTATGGAATGCAGCAAAAGCAGTTCTAAGATGGAAGTTTATAGCAATATAATCCTACCTCAAGAAAGAAGAAAAATCTTACATAAACAACCTAACCTTACACCTAAAGCAATTAGAGAAAGAAGAACAAAAACCCCCCAAAGTTAGCAGAAGGAAAGAAATCATAAGATCAGATCAGAAATAAATGAAAAAGAAATGAAAGAAACAATAGCAAAGATCAGTAAAACTAAAAGCTGGTTCTTTCAGAAGATAAACAAAATTGATAAACCATTAGCCAGACTCATCAAGAAAAAAAGGGAGAAGACTCAGATCAACCAAATTAGAAATGAAAAAGGAGACGTAACAACTGACACTGCAGGAATACAAAGGATCATGAGAGATGACTACAAGCAACTATATGCCAATAAAATGGACAACCTGGAAGAAATGGACAAATTCTTAGAAAAGCACAACTTTTCAAGACTGAAGCAGGAAGAAATAGAAAATATAAACAGACCAATCACAAGCACTGAAATTGAAAGTGTGATTAAAAGCCTTCCAACAAACAAAAACCCAGAACCAGATGGCTTCACAAACTAATGCTACCAAACATGTAGAGAAGAGCTAACACCTATCCTTCTCAAACTTTTCCAAAATATAGCAGAGAGAGAAACACTCCCAAACTCATTCTACAAGGCCACCATCACCCTGATACCAAAACCAGACAAAGATGTCACAAAAGAACACTATAGACCAATATCTCTGATGAACATAGATGCAAAAATCCTCAGCAGGGCTTCCCTGGTGGTGCAGTGGTTGGGAGTCTGCCTGCCGATGCAGGGGACACGGGTTCGTGCCCCAGTCTGGGAGGATCCCGCGTGCCGCGGAGCGGCTGGGCCCGTGAGCCATGGCTGCTGGGCCTGCGCGTCCAGAGCCTGTGCTTCGCGGCGGGGGAGGCCACAGCAGGGAGAGGCCTGGGTTGTTCAAAAAAAAAAAAAAAAAAAAATCCTCAGCAAAATACTAGCAAACAGAATCCAACAGCACATCAAAAGGATCATACACCACAAACAAGTGGCGTTTATCCCACAAATGCAAGCGTTCTTCAATATACACAAATTATTGTGATACACCATATTAACAAATTGAAGGATAAAAACCATATGATCATCTCAATAGATGCAGAAAAACTTTTGACAAAATTCAACACCCACGTGTGATAAAAACTCTCCAGAAAGTAGGAATAGAGGGAACCTACCTCAACATAATAAAGGCCATGTATGACAAACCCACAGCAAACATCATTCTCAGTGGTGAAAAACTGAAACCATTTCCTCTAAGATCAGGAACAAGACAAGGTTGCCCACTGTCACCACTATTACTCAACATAGTTTTGGAAGTCCTAGCCACAGCAATCAGAGAAGAAAAAGAAATAAAAAGAATCTAAATCAGAAAAGCAGAAGTAAAACTGTCACTGTTTGCAGATGACATGATACTATACATAGAGAATCCTAAAGATGCTACCAGAAAACTACTAGAGCTAATCAATGAAAACTTTAGAGTAGCAGGAACGAAAATTAATGCACAGAAACCTCTTGCATTCCTATACACTAATGACGAAAATTCTGAAAGAGAAATTAAGGAAACACTGCCATTTACCATTGCAACAAAAAGAATAAAATACCTAGGTATAAACCTACCTAAGGAGACAAAAGACCTGTATGCAGAAAACTATAAGACACTGAAGAAAGAAATTAAAGATGATACCAACAGATGGAGAGATATACCATGTTCTTGGATTGGAAGAATCAACATTGTGAAAAAGACTCTACTACCCAAAGCAATCTACAGATTCAGTGCAATCCCCTCAAACTACCAATGGCATTTTTCACAGAACTAGAACAAAAAATTGCACAATTTGTATGGAAACACAAAAGACCCCGAATAACCAAAACAATCTTGAGAAAGATAAACAGAGCTGGAGGAATCAGGCTTCTGGACTTCAGACTATACTACAAAGCTACAGTAATCAAGACAGTATGGTACTGGCACAAAAACAGAAATATAGATCAGTGGAACAGAATACAAGGCCCAGAGATAAACCCATGCACATACGGTCACCTTATCTTTGATAAAGGAGGCAAGAGTATACAATGGAGAAAAGACAGCCTCTTCAATAAGTGGTGCTGGGAAAACTGGACAGCTACATGTAAAAGAATGAAGTTAGAACCCTTCCTAACACAAACACAAAAATAAACTCAAAATGGATTACAGACCTAAATGTAAGGACAGACACTATCAAACTCTTAGAGGAAAATATAGGCAGAACACTCTGTGACATAAATCATAGCAAGATCCTTTTTGACCCACCTCCTAGAGTAATGGAAATAAAAATAAACAAATGGGACCTAATGAAACTTAAAAGCTTTTGCACAGCAAAGGAAACCATAAAAAAGATGAAATGACAACCCTCAGAATAGAAGAAAATATTTGCAAATGAAACAACTGACAAAGAATTAATCTCCAAAATATATAAGTAGCTCATGCAGCTCAATAACAAAAGAACAAAAAATCCAATCCAAAAATGGGCAGAAGACCTAAACAGACATTTCTCCAAAGAAGATATCCAGATTGCCAACAAACACATGAAAGGATGCTCAACATCACTAATCATTAGAGAAATGCAAATCAAAACTACAATGAGGTGGGCTTCCCTGGTGGCGCCGTGGTTGGGAGTCCGCCTGCCTGCGATGCAGGGGACATGGGTTCGTGCCCCGGTCCGGGAGGATCCCACATGCCGCGGAGCGGCTGGGCCCGTGAGCCATGGCCGCTGAGCCTGCGCGTCCGGAGCCTGTGCTCCACAACGGGAGAGGCTACAACGGTGAGAGGCCCGCGTACCGAAAAAAAAACTACAATGAGGTATCACCTCACACTGGTCAGAATGGCCATTATCAAAAAATCTACAAACAGTAAATGCTGGGGAGGGTGTGGAGAAAGGGAACCCTCTAGCACTATTGGTGGGAATGTAAATTGGTACAACCACTATGGAGAACAGTATGGAGGTTCCTTAAAAAACTAAAAATAGTACTACCATATGACCCAGCAATCCCACTACAGGGCATATACCCTGAGAAAACCATGATTCAAAAAGAGTTATGTACCACAGTGTTCTTTGCAGCACTATTTACAATAGCCAGGACATGGAAGCAACCTAAGTGTCCATCGACAGATGAATGGATAAAGAAGATGTGGCACATACATACAATGGAATATCACTCAGCCATAAAAAGAAACGAAATTCAGTTATTTGTGATGAGGTGGATGGACCTAGAGTCTATCATACAGAGTGAAGTAAGTCAGAAAGACAAAAACAAATACCGTATGCTAACACATATATATGCTATCTTAAAAGAAAAATTGTTCTGATGAACCTAGGGGCAGGACAGGAATAAAGACACAGATGTAGAGAATGGACTTGAGGGCACAGGCAGCGGGAAGGGTAAGCTGGGACGAAGTGAGAGAGTAGCATGGACATATATATATTACCAAATGTAAAATAGATAGCTAGTGGGAAGCCGCTGCATGGCACTGGGAGAACAGCTGGGTGCTTTGTGACCACCTAGAGGGGTGGGATAGGGAGGGTGGGAGGGAGACAGAAGAGGGTGGGTATATGGAGATATACCTATGCATATAGCTGATTCATTTTGTTATACAGCAGAAACTAACACAACACTGTAAAGCAATTATACTCCAATAACGATGTTAAAAAAAAAAGAAAAAGAAAAAGAAAATAAGGGTGGGGAAAGGAGAACCCCCCCAAAGAAAGCCTGGCCAAGCAGACCCTGCCATCGGGTCTCCTGGGGGACCCGCAGGGGAGCGGCCGACCAGGGTTGGGATCGCGGTCGCAGCGCCCCCTCCCGGCCTGGGCCCCGCAGTGCCCCGCGGACTCGGGGCTCCTGCAGGGTGTAGAGGGGGCCGGGCGTCTACGGGGCGGGGACTCGGGGACACGCAGGCGGGGCGTTTCCGAGTGGCACCCTTCCGGCGCAGCTCACCGGCCTCTTTCCCGGAGTGTCGGCGCCGCCCATGGCCGAGATGGTGGAGCCCGATCCCGGGGCAGCAGAGGGCTCGGAGGCCCTCGCAGAGACGCCGGGCTGGGAAGCCCCGGAGGACGCGAGTCCCCAGGTAGGCTCCACCCGCGGGTGCAAAGGGTGAGGGCCGGGGGGCGTGGGCAGCGTGGGACTGTCCTCGAGGTGATCTTCAGTGCGGCCGGAGGGTCCCATAGGTTTAACTTAAAAGCACTTTTTAAAAAATGGTCAGAGTGCCTAGCTCCATTCCTGCACAAACGGGAAGATGCGGTCGGTAAGCCGTAGTTACCCCCAGGTACTGGCCACATCTCAATTTCTTTTCTCTGGGGTTAAAAAAAAGAAAAAAAATCGACCACGTCCCAAAACCTGCGATGGGACCCTCCGGGCGGGGGCGGAACAGTTGCTTGCTTTTAACCCGAATCGAGCCGACTCTCCCTACCCCTGCTTGTGGGGCAGAGGCCGCCTGCGTCTCTCTCCCTACCCCTGCTTGTGGGGCAGAGGCCGCCTGCGTCTCTAATCCAAAGATGGGAGCCGCAGGGGAGGAGCCCTGCCCGGTGCTGGGAAGCCAGAACCTCCGGCCGGACCCCAGGGGAGCGCAGCCCCTGGACTGGCCGTCCCAGGTGGACCCGAGATCGAGGTACCTGTACTGTTGCATCTCACGTTCTGCCTTCTTAGAATTGCTTCCCCAAGTTCCCCCTGTTCCATCGTAGCCTGGAAGTTATGAGATCCGACACTACGGACCTGCGAAGTGGGTCAGCACTTCGGTTGAGTCTATGGACTGGGATTCGGCCATGCAGACTGGCTTCACAAGGCTGAACGGCTACATTCAAGGCAAAAACGAGAAAGGTGAAGGCAGTTTACCTTGTAATTATACACACTGTATTGTGGTTGAGTGCCCTGGCTTATTGAGTTTTCGCTGATAGAAAGAAAAATAGAAAAATAACCAGATCATCAAAGACTTAATGTTTGAAGAGGAGGACTCTGCTCACGACCCGAGACGTCTAGAGGAGTGTAGTACTGGGCAGTGCTTTTTAGCCTCTGTTCTCCTTGTTTGTGATTCTGCTCGATGAACTGGGCCTCTGTGTAAGTAGCATTAAGGCCTCTTCATGGCTAATGCTTTGAGATAATTTGGTGACTGACTGGTAGAGTAAGGGACATTAGGAGGCAGGAAAGGTCAAAGAACACAAGATCCAGGGTGTCGAGATATATCTTCTGGTTTGGCTCTCATGCTATGTATGTTTCAGCAGGTCACTTAGCCAATGGGACCTCTGTTTCTGAATTGTAAAAGTAAAGAATGAACTGGACTATGTGATCTCTCATTTCCCCTTCTATCCCTAAAACTATGGAATTTATTAATGAAAAATATTAATAATACAGAAAGTGTTTAATGTGGGCAGTGGATAATTGTCATTTTGCCCTTATTTTCTTTTTTTTAAGATGAAAATTATCTTAAAGGTTAAATATTTATGTCAAGTAAATCAAGAAACTCAGGTCAAAAAATAAGTTTTTAAATGTAGTCATAAATACACTAAATCTGCTTTCATGGTCTCCTTTGCATTTAAATGTATATTTTTTGTGGCACAGAGATGAAAATAAAGATGACAGCTCCAGTGACAAGCTACGTGCAGCCCGGTTCAGGTCCTTTTAGTGAGTCTACCATTACCATTTCCCTGTATATCCCCTCTGAACAGCAATCTGATCCCCCCAGGCCTTCAGAGTCAGATGTCTTCATTGAAGACAGAGCTGAAATGACGGTGTTTGTACGGTAAGTGGTAGATAATTTATAGCTTTTCTGACTTGGTTTTACTTGCAGGCACTCATAGTTTAGCTCCTGTGCAGCTTAGCTCCTGTGCTTTTCCCCCTTCCAAAAAACAGGTCTAATGCATTTTGTGGTGTTTTCGTAGTGACTTAGTTTTATACGTTACTAAGGGTCCTTTACAAGAAATAACTAATACATTTAATGAGAAGGCTGATGCACACCTTCCACAGATAAGACGCAATACAAATACACACCGGACCTTCCCCCACAAAAGCAAAAGACTGTCCTTACCTGCCCTCTAGTTAAATTTGGAGAAAAATACCTTAAAACAATGCATGGTGCCCCTCCTCTCAACTCTTAGTTTCTTTTTTAATTTTTTTTTTTTAGTGTGCTTTTTTTTTAACATCTTTATTGGAGTATAATTGCTTTACAATGGTGTGTTAGTTTCTGCTTTATAACAAAGTGAATCAGTTATACATATACATATGTTCCCATATCTCTTCCCTCTTGCATCTTCCTCCCTCCCACCCTCCCTATCCCACCCCTCCAGGCGGTCACAAAGCACCGAGCTGATCTCCCTGTGCCTCAAACTCTTCCCTTTGTTCCCCCAGCCCAAAGGATGGCAGCTGCTTCCCGCAGTGACTGCCTCTGTTGGTTGGTTTACTGGTTCCTTACTCTGACCTTACAGTGCCTGTCTCAGTAAAGCGACTAATCAGCCTGCCGGCCTCCCCAGCAAGGACCGTCGTAGCCATCGGCAGCACACTCAGCCCCTGAATCTGGCCCATTCGCCTCAGAAAGGGTCGTGATTCCGTTCCCTTCCTCACCACTGTTACTTGCTCGGGCCCTCACCTGACAGGGACCGCAGCTAAGTCCTCTTTGCTACCCCAGTGCTCGGCACATGCCTGACACTCACCAGATACTCCGACGTTTTTCAGTCTCACTCAGGTTCCTCTTTGAGAGCCTCCCAGCTGTTCTCTCTGCCCACCAGTCTCCTCTCTCTGGCCCTCCACTCTGGGACGCCGATCGTTCTCAAAACGACAGCAACAAAACCCCAACCTGTTACTGTGTTTAAAAATCTGTTGGCTTCCTCTTGCTTCTGTGTGACATTCAGACCGTTCAGGCTACTGCATCACCTGCAACACACGGCCCAACCTGTCTCCCTGACAACTTCCCCCCCACCTCCCGCCCTTCACTGAGTAGGCTGAGTTCCTCCACGTCTCTGTACCTTTGACCTTAGGCAAGTTACTGAGACTTTGCTTGACAAAAATCTCATCTGTAAAATGTGTCTAATCACAGTACCTACCTACTATCTCACAGGGTTGCCATGAAGATCAGATGAGTTAATTTACCTAAAATACTTAGAACATGAGCATGATATTACTACCAGCTCCAGCTCCCTCTTTCTTCTCTTCTTGGAGAGCCTACTTTCATCCTTCAGGACTTAAATCAGTTGGTACCTTGTCTGTGATGCCTTCCTCAATTTCTCCAGTCAGCCAGCCACTCGGTGCTATGATTCTAAATTCTAATGACCTACTGATAGACTGTAACTTTCTCAAGAATATAGCAACACGTTACTCTGCCCATATCCTTCAGCTGCTGGTGAGGCAGGTGTGTGTGGGGAGGCTCAGTATATGTCTGTGTCCTGAATAAAGCCATGGATAGATCATTGTAGAACAACGTGCATTCAGAGGACAAAAGATGATTTCTAAGTAAGAGGCTCAAGATTTGATTTCCAGGAAGAAGTGAAATCTGAAACAGATTCCCTTTAGGCAGAACATTCCTTAAGGAAATAAATAATAAATTTAGGAGCAGAGATGTTTCCTAACACATGGTGCAGAATTATCATCATCAGTCAACATGATTGAAATTATAGAACAGATTTATCAATTTATCTTCAGCGTTTTATTTTATATACATGTGCATACATGGATTCCTCTACTTACAACTGGGATTTAAAAGGTACTGCATGCCAGGAATGACTAGGTGCCTGGTAGACATTGTTGAACAGAACGGGCCTGGTTCATACCCTCAAGACCTTGCATCTTATCTGAAGAATGGTAGGAATGATCTTTTCCACTGGCACATTGATAATAAACCTTATGCTAAAGAAGGCATATTAGGAATGTTTTTGTGTCTGTTTTTCCTATTCTCAGCCTTCAAATTCATCACGTTTACATTTCAGCAACTCAGCTAGGTTGGTGTGCTGTCATGGTTTAATCTCAGGGTATTTTTGTTTATATACTTTAAAATCTACACTTAAACTTCTATTTTCCCACTTTTTATGCAAATCTTTTGACTGTCTTTTCATCCCCATCCTCTTAGCAACCTCCTAACTGGCCCCTCTTCTCTCCAATCTAGTTCCCATCTTTCTGCCTATATTCTTACCCAGATCTAATCAAGTTACTTTTCTGCTTTTCCAGCATCCTTTGGAATAATCTCAAAAGGCCTTAGGATGATGTACAAGGTTCCTCCTTCCAGCTCTGACTCACCTTTCTTTCTTTCTTTCTTTCTTTTATTAATTAATTAATTTATTTTTGGCTGCGTTCGGTCTTCGTTGCTGCACGCGGGCTTTCTCTAGTTGTGGCGAGCGGGGGCTACTGTTCGTTGTGGTGCGCAGGCTTCTCATTGCGGTGGCTTCTCTTGTTGCGGAGCACGGGCTCTAGGCACGTGGGCTTAGTAGTTGTGGCATGTGGGCTCTAGAACGCAGGCTCGGTAGTTGTGGCGCACGGGTTTAGTTGCTTCGCGGCATGTGGGATCTTCCCGGACCAGGGCTCAAACCCGTGTCCCCTGCCTTGGCAGGCGGATTCTCAACCACTGCGCCACCAGGGAAGTCCTGACTCACCTTTCTGACCTCATTTTATGCCTCACTATGAAATTGCTTTGTATTTCTGGACTTTTGTTCTTTTCTTATCCCTCCCCTTTCTCTGCCCAGCAAAACTATACTCCATTCCAGGCCCCACTCAGAGACACACCTTGCCCCGATGTAATCATATCTTCAGTGTTCCCAAGCACTTTGATTCTGTCTCTATTAAAGCTTTTCTCAGACTGTATAGAGCTGCCAAAACGTCCATCTCTTCCATATAGGGTCAAAACTTATGTACATCTGTAATACAGTGCCTGCCCTTTTGCTAAGGAGAAAAAGAAAGGGGAAATGTTCGATAGAAAATGGAAAGACTGAAAGGGAGGCTGCTAAGGGGGATTCATTGTGGCTCTCTGACCAGGAGCATCAGTAGTACAGGAGACTGTTGGAAATGCAGGCTCTTGGGCCCCAGCACAGACCTCCTGAACCTGCGTTTTCCCAGGTGACTCGCATGCACATTAGAGCTTGAGAAGCACAGAGTTAGAGCACAAGGTTGCATAACTTCCAAATCTGCCCAACAGCTGGAACGTATTGCCTCCTCCTGGGTCCCCTCAGTGCGTGTGAGGTCACACTGAGCCTGGGAAACAGAGGAAGGGAACAGTCAGTTCAGCTGCCAAGAGGGAGGGGCTTTGAAACCACACTCCATCCAGGTTTCCTTGTATCAGCTCCCACTTCTCTTCTTAGACTGACCTTCACATCAGTATTAAAACCATTTATGGTCATTTACTTTCTCCTTTGTAGGTCTTTCGATGGATTCTCTAGTGCCCAAAAGAATCAAGAACAACTCTTGACATTAGCAAGCATTTTGAGGGAAAAAGGAAAAGTTTTCGATGAAAAGGTTTACTACACCGCAGGCTACAACAGTCCTTTCGAATTGCTTGATAGAAAAAACGAAGTGTGGTTGATTCAGAAAAAAGAACCCTCCAAAGAAAAGGAATGAGAAAATGAGAGGAAGGTCCATTGCCAGGGGCAAAACTTCTGTTTAACATAGACGTCAACATTACCCATAAGCAAAATGTGTCTAGTAGCCCTACCTGAGAGTACTACTATGAATTGAGCTTATTTCCACTGTGCCTTTTTAATGCTTGAAGCTTTAGCTACACAGACAACAGGGGACAGTATTCTGTAAACATGTAAATCGATCTTTATTTCTGAGGCTCCAGGGAAACGTCATGTTACTTCCCCCTTCTTCACTGTATCACAATCATGTTGCCTTATTTCTACTTGGATTTGTGTCAGTTGGATGTTACCTCCTCCAGATATTATCAATAAAAATGTTAAAGTTTATCCTGTGTGGAACTACAAGGCTCCTGTCAAACCTAGAGAACTCAAGTTCAGTTGGAAACAAAAAGTGTCTTTTGCAGCTGCCACTGTTACTTTTTCTGTTGAGCCCTCTTTCCTATCTGCCTGCTGCTCCCCACACACGAGAAAAGCTCTCACAATACTCAAAAGTGTTGCTAATATTCCGTGACAAAAAATAAATGTATGAAGTTAGGGACTTCCTATTTTATTTTGATACTCAAGAGAGGCATGTTTTTTCTGAAGAAATGTATACAAACGTAGACTTTTAAAATTCACTTGAGGGGCTTCCCTGGCGGTGCAGTGGTTGAGAATCCGCCTGCCAATGCAGGGGACACGGGTTCGGGCCCTTGTCCGGGAAGATCCCACATGCCACGGAGCAACTGAGCCCACGTGCCCACTGAAGCCCTTGTGCCTAGATCCCGTGCTCCACAAGGGAAGCCACCACATTGAGAGGCCTGCGCACCGCAACTAAGAGTAGCCCGCGCTCTCCGCAACTAGAGAAAGTGCGTGTGCAGCAACGAAGACCCAACACAGCCAAAAATAAATAAATTTTTTAAAAAATCACTTGAATTTTTAAAGTATTTTATGCAGTATTTTTATATACTGAATCAGTATATAAAAATGATTCAGTATTCAAAGAGGGGTTTGCTGCAAAATCAAAGAGGTTGAAATTTGGACCTAATTGTATTGGAACACGCTTGTCCTGGGGAAGAGTGTCAGTCAGATATCTGGAAGCCTGTCATGGGAAGGTCATAGCTTTACTGTGGGCTCCTAGTGGATGATGGTTGTAGGCACGAAGGAGAAAAGCAGCTTGGAGCTCAGTGACTTCCCAATAGGTAAAGCTGCCCACGAATGACATTACTTCCCTTTTCCATCATTGTGTGTGTTCAAGCAGGCACGTGATCACTTATGTGGCAGGTTTGGGTCTCCAGTGGATGAAAGGGGGGGGGCCGGATGATGTTCAAGGTCCCTGCAGCCCCAACATTATATGGTGCCTCTTAAAATTAATCTCCCTAACCTGGGTACACTAGACCAACGTACCTAGAGTTAATGGTTTCCATAGCTAACATCTATGGATTGCCTTCTAGGTGTAGCTTTCTAAGCATTTCACCTGAATTCCCACAGTCGACCCTCAGAACAATCCTGTGTGCCACCTTGTGTCATCTCCATTTCACAGATGAGGACATTGAGGCACAGAGATGTAAGGTAACTTGCCCCCAGCTGGAGCCGTAAGGGCAGAGGCCGATTCCATCCCAGGCAGTCGGACTTCTGGGTCCAGACTGCTAACCACTGTGCCCACTGGCAGTCAGTGTTCTAGAGTGCAGCTTTCTCAGGCCATCAGTGGGCTAGGACTGTGTTGAGGGGTCCTTCCTGCATGTCACGCATGCATAATCAACATGATTATGACCTCAGAGATATCTTTTAGATTATAATTTTTGATACAAAACAAGCTAGGTTTCTGGTTTTGAAATTATTATATGGATATAATTTTTTAAGTCTTAGGCAATTATTTTCCAAAGATATTTGCTTGCATTGATTATTTTTTTATTCTTTGCTTTTTGTGTTTGCCAAAAAGAAATTAAATTTCTTTCTTAGCTCATTTACCAAAACCAACTGTGGATCACCTTCTAGCCCTCCTACTAATGAAAGTCCACAGTACTCGCCTCTACTGGTATGAGGTAAATATTTATATATTTACTCCATAGTCCTATAAAAATAGACATCTCTTATGCAATAACTTCCATTTTAGATGAGAAGAGTATATGTCTGACTGCCAACATTTAGTTGTAATCTGAAACATGTTCCATACAAAAGCGATTTTGTACTATTCATTCCAAGGTATCCCATTTTCCCCTCCTGGTCCATAAATCATAATACATTTTTCAGCCCTCAATTAATCCAGACCAGAGAGTATTTCTCACAGTAATGAATCAGTTATTTTAATTATGTGGCTGGCACTGACTACAAAACATCCCTCAACATTTCTATTGAGATTTTTCTTCTCTTATCAATAGGAAATTCATGTCTAGATTCCTTTCCGAGGCTAAACCATCCACCTTTCCTGTTGGTCTAATTCATGCTCCATCAATTAGGCCTTCTCCCATCTTCAGGCTTTCCCTCCCAACATGCTCCAATCACTCTGCTTACCACCAGGCTGTGATTTGGCTTGATCCTCCCAGCTCCCCAGAATAAAATCCTAGTTCCCCCTAGACCCGTAGGACAATAATTCCCATTTCTCCCTTGCCTTGATTATCCAGTTTCTCTGGAAAGAGTTGTCCAGAGGCTTCCTTGCAGCTCTAGGCTGTGAGGAGGTATCTCAGGGACCATGGCAGGGATTTAAGGTGGGCAACACCCCTCCACCACCACCACTGTGCTTCCCACAGACCCATCCACGTTAGTCTACGTGTATGTCGATTTTTCATGTTTTTAAAAGCCTGAAAATAATTCTTTAAACTGAGTGCATTCATTCATTTCTTTCTAGTCGTCACTTAACCCTCTAAAAATCTTGCTTTTCCTCCTAAATATTTCACTGGAATGCCATTTATTTTCATTCATTCTTCAAGAAGCATTATGGAGTCCCTCCTGGGTCGCAGGCTCTGCACACTATTCCAGGGGCTGGGCTATGGTGACAGGCAGAAATGCCCCCATCAGTGGCTGTACCCATCAAATCCAACCACGTCTTCCACTCTCCTACTCAGTCCACCTTCCAGCTGAGAATACAACAGTGAGCAGGACACGCAGGGCCCCTGTCCTTGTGGAGTGTACAGTTCTGGAGAGCGAGAGAGTGCAAATACCAATGGGGCAGTGGGATAGGGTGTGGCTGGGCGGAGTGCAGTGGCTGTCACGTGGGCGGGCAGGCCAGGCCTCCGGAGGAAGAGACACACGAGATCTGAATGATGAGAAGGAGCCACTCAGATGACAGCCTGGGGGCGGGGGAAGCCTTTTGAGCAGAGGTGACGTGTCAAAGGGAGAAGCCCCCTTCAGTATCCAGAACAAAGCTGCACATACTGCTTGCTGAGCAGGGAGCGCTGTGCTTGCAGGACACAGTGTCTCTGGACACAGAAAACTCTTGACTTGTACGGAGTTTCTGGAAGTGCAGAGTTCAAGGATTAGCGGGCTTTCAGAATCACTTAGGAACTGATTGAGCTTTAGTTGTGGAGGTGCGGTTACCAGAGCAGGGTCGCTGCTGCTGAGCGTGATTTAGGAGCCTGGTTCAGAGGCGAGGTTATTGAAGCGAAGCTGTCATCAGTCACTTCTGGTACTTATTTCTGATTGTGGCCAAAGAATGGGCATATCTCTTCTGGGATTTGGAGTCATGGCCGGCAAGCACGGGGTGGGGGCATGCCACTCAGATCCACCTTCATGAAAGGACCGCTGCCCAGCTGTGAGGGGTGTGGTTAGCCTATGTCTCCAGCTGTGACTTTCTTCAGGATCCACTGCAGATTTCAAGATAAGGACACACTACTTTCAGGGGGTACCTAGCCTACAATGGAGCGAGGCAGGAGGAGCTGATGGCATACTTTTTTACTGGCATCTTTCAGCCAAAGACTGAGCAAGCTGGTGGTACAAAGACCTAGCCATTTCTGTCCGACTCGGGACCCTTCCTATAAACAGTCTTTGCTCCAGAGCTCCCTCGCAGGCTCATAGAAAGTGTCAGATCTGTGTTGCCGTCTGACAGCTCCCCTGCCCAATCTTGTTTTTCCTTTTTCCTTTCATTGGTATGACATCACCATACACCTTTTGTACTCCCAACTCCGTCTCAGCATCGAAATGGCACAGCTGGTATCAGTGTGGCCCCAAGATTGTGGACAGTAAGACAGCATTTTGGGGACTGGGTCATGCACTGCCTGGCTGGCTATGAGTTCCCCGTCCCTGTGGACAGGCCATACATACACAGCTCATGGCATGAGGCTGTCTAGTTATTAATCCCTTAAATGGAATAGCTTACTGGTGAGAAGGAATGCAGTGACTGGTGAATGATTCAGGAGCTTCAAAAATTAGGAGTGGGGTAGATAATGAGTACAAGGACAGTAGACTTGAATGGCTGTTACTAAGTTGGATTGTTGTCCTGCAGGTGGATAATGAAAAGTTGAGGTCAGTTAACAAAGAATGTAAAACTACATGTGAGGGCCAGAGCCTCTTTCATAGCTTGCTAAGAAGTCCTCACCTCATGCAGAAGGTCAGCATGAGGATTGGATGGTAAAAGGAATAACCACCAACGGATGTTCAACCAAGCCCGATCTGCCGTGTCAAGGTCAGGACCAAACCTGGAACATGAAATGGGGACATCTGGTGGACGCCCCCAACAGTTTTGACTCCCTAGAAGTTTCTGAACATTCTGGGCCTGTGGAAGAGGCCCACCCTTCCCCCCATTAAGAGCTAGAACTACCCTCTCTCCCTCCTCCTGCCCTAATATGAGGAAAGACAATATAGAGGTCTTTCCCCCACAAGGCAACAGGTGCCTCTGGGAGCTGTCCCCACCCCATCTCCCGACTATCAGGCATTTACCCAAGGTTAAGTCATGGCATAACCTGGCAGAGACCAGGCTGGGCCTGATGAAGGAAGAGATGGACGACGTGCAAAGTTTGCCGCATAGCCTAGCCAAGGTGTACTGGCAGGGGCCAGGAGAGTACCCTGGGGACTAGGCTCTGAAGGTGCTCAGTCAAAGGTGCCAGGACACAAGACTGGATAAAGGAAGCTTATTGACTTGGGGATATTGCTCT